ATAATAAGAATACAACATAGAACATCCCAAGGCTGGGAATATTATTATCAATTTCATACTGAAAGAAAAATGCTTAGAAACATTTTTTAAAATTTTTGTTAAATTATTTTTGATTTCAGAATAAGCGTCTCCACTTCTACAACACTGTATCAATCATAAATATGAATTTTCAACTCAAAAAGTCTCTTTTACCAACTCGAATAAATCACAAGTTGAAAATCATCTTTCTCTTCTAGCCTTGATGGGCTAGTAAATTATTATAGCTTGAGTTAATCATAAATTAAGCTGGAATGGAGTTATAAATTTCTATTCTAAAGAAAAGAAAACATTTAATTTTAAAATGACTTTCATCATTGCCCTGCAACTTCAAAAGTATGAAAGCAATTATTTTGTATGTGATTTCTTTGGGGTCAACTACATGAGAAGCATTCGTTCCAACCTCCTTTACTAAAAGGATTTTTTTAAAATTATTCTGCAGCGCTTTGAACACAGAGCGTCAGCAATGGTTGATCATGATGAGCGTGTTATAGAATAATTCACAACAGTAATCGTTATCGACCAGATTTTGGCGACAAATTAGAAAAACAAAAATAAAGATACTTGTCCCTGATCGTTTACCCACATACCGTATTTTCGTGCGTATAAGACGCTCCTAATTTAAGGGGACCAAACGATCGTACCCGATGTCCCAAAAAAGTGTCTCGGGACGACTAAGAGTCCCGTTTCTAAAATCAAACACACTTTTACATATTAGATAAGAAGGGGCTTTAGCAATGGCTCATGGGACAACAGCGAAATATCCTCAATTTAATCCTAGACTAGAAACGTTGAATTTGTTGTGTTGTATACTGTTGTAAAATATGTATAAATAAATAAGTATTCCCTGCAAAAGTATTGCTTTCGTTTACGATATGCCCCAGGGTATGAAATTACAAATGTGAAGGTAAATTTAAAAAGATTTTTAGGTCTCCAAGTCGTTAAAATGATCACACGTCAATAAACAGTTTCCGGCGGAGGCCCCCGGACCCCTCTTCAGCTGAAGGGTATCCCCCCCCCCCCCCCACCCCCCCTTTGTCCCCCCCCCCCCCAAACTCTCCTTGGGTGTGTCCCGTTTTTTCCAGTTCATGATTTGGTTATCCTATCTAAATTATAAGACGCGGGTTTGGACGATTTGTGTAAAAAAAAAAAATTGCATAAGACGCACGTGGCCTGGCCATCTGCCACACTGAGCAATTTATATCCAGCTTTTTCCTTTGCTTTATCATAAAAGAAAATGTGTCCAATGTTTTTACCACCCGTCGGATGTCAACAAGGCTTCATTGCCATCTTTAGTTTACCGGTAGATCTAAGAATGCCCTGAGATAGGACGGCAACGATTAGTGTTTAGTCTTATCTCCCACCGGGCAAATAGTGGATGGGTACCTGGTATCTAGATTCTATGGACCGCAATAATTGTCCTTCATTATCACACACCGCACCGTTCTTTCTTGTTAAGAAAGGCCGTATTTTCGCACATATAAGACACATCTAATTATAAGATGCTCCCATATATCAGACGCGGGTTTTGACGATTTCTGTGAAAAATATTTTACATAAGACCCACCCATATATAAAACGCACCCTGGGTGCCTGGTAGCCTACGTAAAACTTTGTATAAGACGTGTCTTAAATACACGAAAATACGATATGAGCCACCACGAACTGTAAAAGCCATTCAGAGGTGGAGCTCCAACAACTGAAATGGCATGCCTTATAGTGAGTTTTAAAAAATAATAATAATTGGTCAGAACTGATTTAAAATATGAAAAAAAAATGTTTTCCTCACTGGATTTTCATTTTCATCTATCACTAAACATTCACTGGCGATAAGGAAAACTTCAAAAACCTGAAGCCTAATAGAGTGCTCGGACCTGACTGTGTACCGAACATCTTCATGAAGACCCTGGCTGACAACATTGCCCCAACCATGACCCACATTTTCCAAAAGTCGCTTGACTCCGGCTAACTCCCGCTAGACTGGCTTGATGCAAAATAAATATCACTAGTGCCTGCAATAAAGGTGACTTTCATAACCCAGCAAACTACCGCCCAATATCCCTGACCTCCGTTCCAAGCAAAATCCTAGATCACTTCACCTATCGCCACATCATGAACCACCTTGAACCCTACAACATTTTGACCAACCTAAACCAAGGCTTCCGCTCTGGATTCTCAACAGAAACTCATTTAATCATCACCACATATGACCGCCTTTCCTCCTATGACAAAGTTACCCAGGTCGACATGGCAATCCTCGACTTCTCTAAGGCCTTCGACACTGTTCCACAAAGCCTTCTTCTACATAAGCTCCACCACTACGGCATTACTGGCAACCTTCACTCCTGGCTCTCAACATTCCTAACACAACAGATCATGCAAGTAGTGTTAGAAAGCGTCCAATCAGGTAAAGCCACCGTAGACAGAGTAGTTCCTAAAGGCACAGTGCTGGGCCCTTTTTCTTTCTCTTTTACATAAACGACCTCCCTGATACTGTAAAATCACAAGTGAGGCTGTTTGCAGATGACTGTCTTGTCTACAGAGAGATAAACGGCTACGATGGCCACAGCCACCTCCATACAGATTTGAAGTGCCTTATGAAAGTGCCTTGGAATTCTCTTCTCAAATAACCTAAAATGGTCACCACATAATGACAAAATTTCAAAAAAAGCCTACTCAGCCCTAGGTTTCATTCGAAGGAATCTGCGCCACTTCCCAACTTCCTGCAAACGAAATGCCTATCTTGCACTCGTCCGTCCACTACTGGAATATGGTGCGATGATCTGGGACTCACACCTTTAGCAAGACGTGGAAGAGATGGAGCGAATTCAACGTAATGCGGTGTTTTTCATCGCACGAAACTACAAATCCACCACTTCTGGCTGCGTCACTGGCCTCTTAAAAAGATTTGACATCCCCTCCCTTAAAAACAGATGAGAGGGACTCCGCCTGATATTCTTATATAAAGTGGTCATGGGACTGGTGCCGGCCATCCCAGCAAGCACGTACCTGACACCACAGAAGCCGAGTCGATTGATTAGAACCAAACGCTCACTGAACACTGACCTCACCACTGACAACCCCATAAACAGTTACACCAGAAACAATAGCAAATTAAATGCTTCACTATGCCTCGGCGCAACACCGTGTAGTATAAACAATCTTTCTTCCCACGCACAATAATAGCTTGGAACCACCTGGACAATGCCGTTGTGAACTCGACATCGGTCGAAAGCTTCAAGGCTGCCCTGGTATATATATCTGCTAGGAGCTGTTAGACTAGCAACACCATTCCCTCAACCGTTGCACAGATGCCAGTATATGGATGCAGCCACAAACACTACCAGAACAAGAGAGAAACGCTGGTATTTCTATTTGATACAAAGATCTTAGTAAAAAAATGCTTTCCCAATTAAAAAAAAACAAAAATCCACAGTACCCCTTGGAGATTACTAGCACCACCTAAAATTTATTAAATCTTTTTGAGAAGCGTCGATCTAGTAAATTAGATTTAGACTTCATTATTAAATGCTCTTATATTTCAATGATTTTTTTTTTCTTATTATTTTTTTAATGTTTAACTTTGATAAATCGCTGTTCAATTTAAAAATCTATAGTTTATTACAATTAATGATATTTTAAGATAAATATTGCTCTATAATGTTTTCTTGTTAGTATTTGTTTAAATTTAACTTAAATTTAAATTTTCATTGTTCAGAATTCTAGACAAACATTGAAAATAAAAACACACAAAACTCTTTCACCTTATAGACTAACTTTAATCTGAAGGCGATTTTGCCGTACCTAATTTTGACGCCAGGGGTGATTGGCCTTCTCGCCCCTTCCTTCACCCTGAAAATATCGAGAGATAGGGCCCTCGGTGCATTTTTTGCCCAGCGCCCCCGCTGCTGTAAAGACGGCCATGATATGATGCCTTATTACCATGGAGTCATAAAGAAGGGGACAATTGCGATTTTTAAAAAAATTGTTCTCTTAAAGAAAAAGTCAAAATTTCAACAATTTTGTAGCCATTTAAATAGCAAAAGGTATCCATAGATGATTGTGTCTATCGGTAAATTTTTTTAGAGAATATTTAATTTGTCCGTAAATTTCATGATTTTGGTTGGGCAACCCTGCTTTCGCCAATGTCAGTCGTCAATATATAGTCTACAAATCTATCAGTCGACAGCATGCGACTCCAGAGGCCCACGTGGTTCTTTCCACAAAATAAATGCAACTTTCTTTATTCCTAAAACAAATTGTATGGACCCCTGATTATTTATGGTTCGCCATTATTTTGTGAGGAAACACTAATATTTCAAACACATTTTCGTATTTCAATATAAAAGTACGTTAAGAAACTAACTGTAGCGTTGATTGTCACTCTTTTTGATGTGATACGCTTGTTGTCATGTTAATTTTGTTATCAAGCTGTCTGCTCTCTGAATTTTGACTTTACATTTACATCTTCAGTAGCTGAAATTATGTTTATTATTTAAAAATGCACTCTCTGGTTTTATATGCATGTTTTATTAAGTTAGTGTGGTATTTAGCCAAACCATAAATTATAAACAGAACCTGATACTGATGTCTAATACAACTTTTTTGGCAGGGTTACCAGTCTAGGCTTTAAGTCCTAGATTTAGACTGCATCCCTTATCTATCCAATGGAATTCACGGCTGATCAAATGTGCCCTAATAAAAGATAAATGAGGGATTACCACAAAAGTCTATCTCATAAAATAATATGATGAAGTACTACTACTACTACTAAGTTTGTAACTAAGCTGAAGCTACTACTACTACTAATTTACTATCAAATTAAGTAAAAGTTAAACTTTGACTTTGCCTCAAAATCTTAAACTCAGCTAAAGTATACTTAGGCTTAGTGAATAGTATCTAAGGTAAGACTTACCACTCAATTTACTTAAATTAAATAAGTAGGCCTACTTTATCCCTCCTACTTCACGTAAACTCTGAACTATTCTATTGAGAATAATTGACAATACTTGAGTCATTAGTCAATGCATCAGCATCAGCCTCAAGTTATGTGCTGTAGTAGAAATCTAGGTAAGCATTTAAATTCCAAATACAGTGATATATTTAGAAACAGAACACCTTGCTAGAATCCCCCTCCCCCATTATTCCTTATTACTTACTAGTATGCTCAAACATGCATTGGGTGTGATGCATCCGCATACCTTATTCTTCTAATGCATATAATATAATATAATGAAAAATTATGCAAAAACTTTTTACTTTTGTCTCTTTGATTATCTCGTTCTTTTGCAATTTACTTCACAATTTTCTAATAATAAATTATTTTGTTAACAGTGACATAGGAAGCATATTTTTCGAAAGGCAGTGTCTACACGTCCGGCGCGCCGGACGTATATCTCCCGCACTATTTGTCCGGCAACCAAGTCACATGACTGCCATAACAAAGTGGCGAGAGATATCTTGTTGGTCAGCCTTGTCACGTGACTGCGAATGATTCAAAACTATTGTTATTAAATTGTTAATTTTAAAATCTATTTCTCTACCAAGTAATGTACTTAGTATCTTGAATGCAAATAATAGGAAAAAAAAACTTATGTGAAAGTGGCTTGTAAACATTTTTGTTTAGTTTCCTATTTGAGTTTGTGTACCAGTAATCCATAAAATAAATTAGGGGCCAGTGTGGAGTAGACAACCAATAAAAGTAAAAGATTTCATTTTAAATTGTTTAAATTGCTACAAAATATTTAAAAACTTCTCATGAAACTACCGGGTACTGTTGCTGATGAACATGATAATAAAAATATAATATAAAATATTTTCAATATATAAGAAAAAAAAACAATCCTTTCCCGGGAATTGATCCTCAAATCATAATAACATTAAGCAAAAACTCTACCACTAGACCACACAAGATCTGCCAAACTGCACTTCGTTCGGAATAATAAAAACTACTAGCGTGACATGGCGCCGGTCGTATATCTTGCGCACTATTTGTCCGGAGTGCCGGACGTGTAGACACTTCGTTTTCCAAACACTGATATCACTTAATAGCATGGGCGTGGTTTTTTTTTTGTTACTAGCAACGAATTTACTCTTATGTATCAGTAAAAGTATAATGATACATATTAGCTTATTATGTTTGAAGTAAAATAATACATAAAACCTAAGTCTAAGCCTAAAAGAAATATTAATAAAATAATAGAAATACTATTTTATTGCTGCTACTGCATTTACACTTATAGTTATAGGCCTTCTTTAAGTTATTATTTTTAAAATTTAAGTCATTTAATTATAAATTATCAAAATTTTGCGTAAAATTTATTTTTTAATGCATTTTTTTTTCTTACTATATAGTATAGTTTGTTCAAAAAGAGATTTGATCAAAATTTGAACGAGTGAACTAAAAAAAAAATTTGATTAAATTTCCACTCTATCAACCTTTCGTTGATCAATGTTCCGTCAACTAAATTTCTTTCAAACAAATTTCTGGATATGTTGAAAACTTGTATTCGACTTTCCAAATATATGCCTTAATTTGCCCACAAATTTTTTATTTTAAAAGATAATGTGACCAAATTTTCCTGCAACCAGTTTTCAATAAGTTTTTTTTTTTATAAACATAACTTCACTTCTAATCTATAAAAGATAGAAGATGAAATTTATATTTTTATAAAGCTTATGGTTAGCCCTTTAAAATGATGTATCTTTTATGGCAATAGAACAATATTTAATATTTCTGTCCGAGTGATTATTAGAATGAGTTATTCCTCTTAATATCATCAACAACTCACTGAGAGCATTGAAACCTTTCATGAACTGTGCAGTAAAAACCCACCACCCCTATGCCATGAGTGAGTTAGCTCATGGAATGTTGATCATGCTTCTAAAGATTTCCTTCATCATCTTGATCAGCACATGAATGAAATCAGCATATGACTAATTATATTACCTTAACTATATATACTATAATATACCATTGTAGAATTAACAAATGTTCTTTTTAGACCTTCACATATCACAACCTGCAAAGGAAAGACTTTTCCACAACATACTGCTGTGACATGAAAAAATATATTTTGCCTGTTCAAGCATTAAGCAACAAGCATCGGGACATACATAAAAGTACTTATCATTTAGCAAGCAAAATAAAAATATTATGAGCCCTGCAATTAAAATTAAAAACAGACTTGTGCTGATTCAACAACTATTATAGCCAAATTACAAGTATGATTAAAATAATATTAAGAAGTCTTTTGATAGGCCATTAAATATAATAAAATAAAGTATTAGTTTTTCAGTCAATTATTTTTTTCAAAATTATTCATCTAAGGACTAAACATACCTTAATTTTGAATCTATTATAAAGATGAAAAACATCTTTCTTCATATTTCCTTACTACACATGTGTCATGTAGCTGAGACCAAATTCTTAAATTAGTCTATTACTATTATATAGACGTGGAATTTCCACTATATAAATAAAGAAATACAATGGAATACATATTTATATGACATCTTAGTTAGTAATAAACATTTCTGCTATCTTGAAAAAATGTATCAAGGGAGAAAACACCCATGTGGTGAAAATTTAATAAATTGGTTGAGTAGTTTTGCGGAAATTTTTATTTGCTCATTCTTGTAGGCAATTGAATGCTTTAAACAGGGATTATCATATCAATTACAATTCGTGGATAATGTATTAGAAATTAAATAGTAGACTTACCTTAATTGAAGTTGATATATTTTTCAGAAAAAATTTTTGATTCAAAAATAGCGAAACACAGTACTGTTCAGCACCCAGTTCTATTTAAAATGATCTATCAAACAATGCCTTTAGCAAAGAAATGACCGCTAATCGCTTTTTTTTCCCCCACATCACATACGCAATATGTACATTTTAAAGTGAACAAAAGGTTTTAAAAAAGGGACATAATTCTTCCATGATTTGTCACTAGCAATAGCAGTAAAATGATTTAACCAAGTACCTAAATTTAGCATATTTCAAAGTCACATATTTTTAAAGCATTTCTAAGGGTTACATGGTAAAAAATAAATTGCTATAAAATGACTTGAGTGTTGGACTGTGATAAAAATTTCAAGACGATAAATGAGACACAAACAATTTGTGTCGATAAAACAATACAATTTCAGCTTTAATAGAACATTCTGTGATCATTATTAAGCTGAGCCTTTATTTTTTTATTGACACAAATTATTTGTGTATCATTAATCTATAAAATGACAGAACACCTTAAACTTCCAATGATATGGAAGCTGCCATTAAAATAGCGAGTTGAGCAAGAAGTAATTTGATTAGCTGGTACAAAGACCAGCCAGCCGATCGCATGGCTTTTATTTTTGGGTAGATGGATCAGCCTTTTGTCTTTTTTGCAACTACATTCAGCCTTCTCGAGCATTAAAACATTCTACATATCCGCCCAACTGTTACTGTTTCTCATTTTGATTCATTTATTGAATTATTGCCTGAAAACATTCTTGATCAAATTGAGACATTATTAAAAAGAAAAATTGGTCTGAATTAGCCAGCATTATTATTAAAGTTTAAGACTTGGACATTTAATGTCTTAATATTTTGTATTGAATTAACTCATAATTTATGTTATTTCACATATAGGTTAAGTCCATTATGACAGCAACAATAGAAGAAGAAACAAGTCCCATAATTGGTATGTTTTACAGTCTTTGAGCTAAAATACATCAATATACCAGTTTTTAAAAAGTTTTATCCTGAACTTAATATTTTATTAAAATGTGGTTCAAATTATTATTATTTTCTTTTTAAATTAAAAAATTACCCACAATTTAATACTGTTATTGATGGAAAAATTTAGTTATAAGTAATATTTTAAACTGACATTATACAAAAATTACTATTTTTTTGTTGATTTAAAAATATTTATTAGCAATAATTTCAGTTGACAACCTAACAATTACAATTCTTTATAAATTGGGCATATGAAGTAAGAGAAATTTTTAGAAATTTAAGCCTTTTATTCTTTAAGGACCAGTTCAATAGTTCTTTCAATTTTATATGCCTTATTTCAAATGTCTTGTTAATTATCCATTCATATTGTAATTGTTTTTTTTTTGTTTTTTCATTGTCAGCTGTTAAAGAGCTGTTAACCACAAAAAATGATGGAAGCATAGGTGCCCAATGGGAAGGATGTCAGAAAAATCCAGGGCATCGTAATCTTGTTTCTTGGTTAATGTTCCAATCAGATCCTAGAAAGTATCTACTGGATGCCCACCTATCAGATGATGAGGTTACCACAGGCTACATAAAAGCCGCCGGTGAACTAACTGTCATGCTCAGGATGAGTTACGCAAGCCCGGACAGGACTAAGATCTACTCATCCTTGTATGAATTCAGGGGACATGCTCACAATTTCTTTGGAAGTGGTTTGGTGGTTTATGATGTAGAGGAAACTGAAAATAAATGCCGGTGCTCAAAATGCTATACATCCATAGTGAAACCCTCGGCATGGAAGGTTTTTGTAGCCACCGCAACCCATGTGGTGCTTGATGGCCGAGAAGCTGAGAAGTTAATTGCTGAGTTATATTATCATGATTTCAATGACAGGAGATCCGTAAAGAAACTATATGGCATTGGCATTAGTGAGCGTAGCATTCTTGGAGACTGCTGCGTGGTCGAATGCTGCACATGTGACAGATTGATTGCTGAGGAGATTAGGAAATTTCTGAAGATTCAAAATGAACTATTCCCCAAATTACCCAAAATCAGTAAATCATCTACTGTTATAATATCTCACCCACATGGGATGCCCAAGTACATAAGCTTCGGGGAATGTGTTGGCAAGGATTTTAAAAATAGTCAACTTTTCCATTTAAGTGCTTGGAAATACAAAACAGCTACTTGTCCAGGGAGCAGCGGCGCACCGGCTTTGTGCATGAGTGACCAGTTTATGGCTAGGGGGTTAAGGTTCCTGGTGACGAACTTACATTTACATAGCGGAGCAGGTCACTCTGGAAACTTTAGTAGTATTTCCTGTCAGCCTTCATTGCATAGGAAATCTAGTTCTGGCTCAATAAAGGTCTGTTATTTCATTAATTTTTACAACATGGTTAAGACTTGCCTTAAAATCTTAGCTGCATGCAATGAGTTTTTTTTTTTCTATCTTTACAAAGTTTTTTTTTTTTTAAATCACCAATTGAAAAATTAACTCGGTACCTTAAACAAAAGTACTGGATCCATTCTGACAAAAAATAAATTGGAGACTTATTACTTTAAGATATTAAGCGTTTTCACTTCTGCATCTGTACCGGTAATTAAATTGAAAATAGGGTTGCTCTAAGTAAATAGCAGGTAATCATTAATTTTAAAAAAAATACATGAACTTTAACATGTGCTAGATGCTTCTCCTCCTCCTATAAACTAAGATGAAGCCTTTGTTGTTAGTGATTAGCTGGTCAATCGCTATAATTGCATGTGTCAACATGTCTATTCAGAAATTTTTTGTTTACTGTTCAGGTTAAGCTTTTCATGGTTAAGCTTTTGGAGCAATTGTCCCATTTGAGATGCAATGTTTAAATGCTTATGATTGTAATGTTAATTGCCAGTACTTATTCTTAAACCTCTTATAAGTTTTAATACTTATTCCTACTCCTTTTAGCCCAATTTATTAGAGTTCTTTATTGTGATTTCAATGATTAAATTCACCCAGTTATCCAAAATAAATTACAATACATATTTTTTAAGCACAATACATAAAACTTTTAGAATCAATGAGATTATGCTAATCACAGATTTTTCTTCTTTCACCATAATTTTCAAGCATACTTTTTCACCTTCTTTATAAAGAACTAAATTTGTGTTTGAATTTTTACATTCCTGTAGGAAACTCAAGCATCTCTACCTTCCACAGATTTAAAGACAAAGAAGAACCTTTTTCCTCAATCAGGTGAATATTTTTTTTTTCGAATATTTAACTTAGTTTTCAAACATGTGTACTGACAACTTGAGTGAACTTCGAATGACACCGACAATGCCCCTAATGGACAGTACCAAAGTAACAGGTAAATAACATGCTAGATCAGATCAGTTGTACAGCAGTGAACATAACAGAGGCTGAAGTAAAAAGCTGCAGGAATTCCAATAGGAAATTAAGAGCAGAACAGACAAAATGGCAGTGGACTATAGTGTTAAGCAAAAAAGGTGTCTTGTGTCAACTGTGTGGTAAGATGTGTCACTTCACCATATGTCAAATAAAATAACACAAATCAATGCAATTTAGCAAACTACAAGCTCTATCTAAGCAATTTGGCTAGTTAAATCATCTATCTAAGCAATTTGGCTAGCTACATTCTCTGTCCAGGCATTTTGGCTAACTACATCCTTATCAATTAATCTTAGAGAAGTAAAACAATGAAACTTTTCACTGTTGATTTCTGAATAATGTATCAGTAGGATCAAGTCACAAATTAGTTTTAGTTTTATCATTTGGCAGTGATTATTTGTTTAATCCTTTTTTAAAATAAAAAATATGAATACATATTTTTTTATTGTGTGTCACAGCACTTGCTGGAAGAAGAATTCACCCCAAAGGATATTTCCCCAAATGTGAAAAGCATCCCAGGCATGAAAAGTTTATTCCTGTCCGCACTCTTGTGGTAGGTGATCTGCCAGAGAAGTACAGAAATGATGATGTGCTCAATTTCATCAAAACCGTGTCTGACCTTACATGTTTGATACGTGTCAAGTGCCGTAGCGTAAACCGACCTGCGGTTTATCCTGGTTCAAACAAACCTTACCCATTGTCTGGAGACAATACTGCCGGGCACCACTTTGGCACTGGGTATCTTCTATTTAATTGTGGACAGAACATAAGTGACATGAAATACTGTCCTTGTCACTTGTGTGAGCAGTTGAAAACCCCAAACAAAGAATTTTGTATTGTTTACATACGTACGGCTAACACAGTTGTATTTGATAATGTTGAGGCCCAGCGGTCGGTGATGACCTTCGAAACTGGGAGCTTCGGTGGGCACAATATGAACGGCGTTCGAGTCATCTCAAACAACATTGATCAGGACTGGAGCATAATTCAGTGCGTGACTCACAAAGTGGAACTTTGCCAGAAGTTTAATTCCTTACGCGAAAGCCTGCATAAACTTGATAAAATCATCCGCTTGAAATACAACAACGAAGAGCATAAACTCAGCATCGTCGTCTCCCATCCCCACGGGTGTAAAGACAAACAAGTGACTTTTGGTGAGTTTACTGGTAAGCAATGGGGTGAATGCAATGAAGACATCTATTTGGAGAACTATACCTACAGCACCCCCACCTGTTCAGGGTCCAGCGGAGCACCTGTGGTCATGTTAGGTGAGGGCGTTCCTCGGATAAATGAGCATTACATCACCTGTCATATTCACAGTGATGCGTTGGAAGACTATAACAAGAGTGGTTATGTTATAGACTCGTTGCTCTGATGTATTTTTTTTTTTACACACTTATAAACAGTATAGATGGGCAGCATTGTTTTTTGAAAATGTACTTTTAACTACACATTGAAGGTATTCAGCATGGTAATCAAAGTTTAATGTGTTTTGCTACAAGACATTCCTCTGAATCTTTCATAACTACCTTACGCATATCAAACTAACTTGAGTCGACCGATATTCTAAGTTCTAACTAATTTGAGCTTTCAACTGCCAGGGATCAGATTTCAGACAAAATGCAACCAGTAATGTGAATGCATTCATTTGATTATCAGATAAATTTTCTGAATTGTATTCAATGGATTGATTTGCTCTGAGATATACTTTCTTAGATGTCCCTGCAAGAGATCAAATTAAATAACTTCTTTTTGTGATATTTATTCCTACAGAACGGTGTAACTTTAATTTTGAAATACCAAATTTTTTCCATTTTGGTTAGGGCCTGCATATGATTCCTTTACTCTTTGGGCCTCCATATAATAATGTTGATATTGATATGCTTCTTGAGCTTGAGGCTTATCAACTATATTCATTGTGGATAATGGAGGAAGTAAATATTGCAATTGCAGCAAAATTAACAATGTAATGATGTCAAGTTTGTGGAGAATAATTCCATAAAATAATATAAATGTTTATGGATAATACATTTAAACTTTTGCATTTAAATTAACAAAAGTTATAAAGATATCATTGTTTCTTTTTAATTTTCGATTCATCTTCTATGTGACGTTTTTTAAGATACTCCCAGGGATACCACATAAAGAAGTGATAACATAACATATATATATTGTACCTGGTTTTATTCTTTTTCAAAACTTTATATTTCTGTTAACTTAAAGATGCGATGCATGACTTAATATAAAAATGATGTTCATTGTTATTGATTAATAAAACTTTAGTAACTCTAAATGATTTTTGTTATTTCTATTATTACTACCAATTACCGCTGGTATTACTTAACCAATGGTGTTAACCACTTTGGCAGTATTACTTAACCAATGGTGTTAACCACTAGTATTACTTAACCAATGGTGTTAACCATTAGTATTACTTAACCAATGGTGTTAACCACTAGTGTTACTTAACCAATGGTGTTAACCACTAGTATTACTTAACCAATTGTGTTAACCATTAAAAAAAAAGTAGTGGGAAGAGTTTTAATAAAAGTTAATTATGTGCGTCACATTGGATCATCACTGTGTAACACATTGGATCACCACAATGCGTCACATTGGATCACCACTATACATGCAACATTTTAGTTTAGTAGTTAAGTTAGGATGATGTATATTAATTACATGGTGTGTAGAAATGTTAGGTCATCAGTATAATTAATGAGGACCAATTTAATCATCTGATAATATTCATGATGTATATTAACAGGCACAATGGATCACCAATATTCATGCAACACATACAGTAATAATGTGTAAAAAATGTTAGTTTGTCCGTTGAAGTGATGAGGACGATTTTAATCCTTGGATTGTTTTCACTCTCTCGCTGTCCAATATTTAAGAGATCCCAAACAGAAAAAGCTTTATAATACATAAAAAAAAATACACATTACCTTTTGAATAACGGATGTTATTATCATGCCTATTACTTATTGAATTTTTATTATTAAGAAACAAATTCTTGGAGTAAGCCACCATCTTTGTACTATTAATGTTTTAAAATGCTAAGTTCATTATAGATAAACGGAAAGAAAAAAAATGTGAGCTAAAATTTACCAATACAATGATGCACTTCATCACAAAGTTGCATCATTCATTAAGCCAATTATTGCATTACAGTTACAAGTTCAATACACTTCTATAGTTCAGTAAGGTAGCTGAGGTGAATTTCTAACTCAAATAAAGTTAACAACAGCTTCTTAGTTGTTCTTTTATTCAAACAAACTTTAAAGAAAACAAATCCATAGAATATGTAAAATTTAATCATACACTTATTGAATGTATTTTAAAAGATTATAAGCCTAATAAAATTAAAGGAACAAAAACTCTTGCACAAGTTACAATGAAAGGTGTCTTGATAAATAGAAGTGCATAATTTTTCTTTAGGCTGGTGAAAAGTGAATTGACATTGACAGAAAGTAAAAATATTTGCAATACTTTAACATTAATAATTGCTTGAAAAATACAAAATCCTGCTATGACATACCCAAAACTTAACCTTTAAAGAACATCACTGTCATATATTATTGTTTATTATTGTTTAGCCATTAAAAAATGTAATTTCTGATTACATGGGATGCTTCACTTGTGAACTTGTTTAGAACTGCGACATAACCTAAACCATTCAAAACATTTCTTTTTAGGAAGTCTATTTTAAAAATGCCAAGATCACTGAGGAAAACTAAATGCAATCTTTATTTCCCATTGTCAGACAAAATGAGTTCCTTATTCCAAACCTTTCTGCACGATATTTTCGTGAACAATTGCATTTTACTATCTCACATTATGCTCGGGAAATTGCTTGTGCAGAAGGAATTGCTATGTATGAAACTGACCTGCCACAAAAGATTTCATAGGGTACCTAAAACTCTTATCCCACTATACACTGTTTATTGTTTTTAAACCAACAACTGCATAAGATTCTCAACAAGCTAAATTAAAACCATTATAAAATTATTTCCAAAGAAAATGTAAACATTTGGTTTTTAAAACATAAAATGGCTCAAATTTAAATTACAAAAGCAATATTTAAAGAAAACAGGCAGCTATGACCTTTTTTATACAGTGACTGCATTTCACTAGCAATCATGTCAACATTGATATATAGTAGATAGGTTATGCCTGAGGGAACGAAGACAGTTTCATCCTGAAATATCATTTATTCTTTTCACTTTGTATATCCCGACAATTAGGCATTGGGTATGAAAGCAAAATCTCTGCCCGTATTGGAGTTGAGATGCCATCATTTATTCTGTTTTAAGCTCAATACTTCATTCCAATTTGTTTAACGAGCATGGTGTCCAGATTAACAGGTACATTATGATGAAAGCTGTGAAAGGAGTAGGAATGAGAAATAAAGGTTAATTTTAAGATTTTATCTTTGTTTTTCAGTTACTACTTTTATCAAGGCTGATGCCATTTACCATATTTTATAAAATAAAAGAGGGGAGAGGGCCTTACAAAATTATCAAACCATTTTTTCTTAATAACCAGAATATACACTTGTTTACCCGGTATTTATATTTATGCAAAGACTTACACATTTCATTTGTAAATAGCAGAGTATATTATAGATAATTGAATGTAATTAGGACATAAACTGAAGGTAAACTTTTCATGCTGAATAGACATAGTGTAAACCAAAGATGAAAAAATGTGGTTATAAACAAACTGAATGTTTTACATTTGTGATCAAAGTACACGGTGGTCCTGTTCAGAAAAAATATACCGGTAACAAAAATGAATTTGACTTACCCTGCTTGACTTATTCGAATGAATTCAACTTCTAAAAGTCGAGCATCATCTACTTCCTCATGGTCTTCTACAATCTCAACCCTATGATCTTTGAAGTGAAGGACAATTTCATAATTTTGAAAGTTAACATCAGGCCTTTTAATTTGCCAAATGTCTTTCACCTGAAAATCAATTTAGATATTTTTATCAGTTGATTAATCATGATCAGGACATTCTTAAAATAATTTATTTGTCTGTTCAAGACAATCTTGCTCTCAAAAAGTGTTTTCCTTTTTTTTTTTTTTTTTTTTTTTTTTTTTTTTTTTTTTTTTAATAAAAATTATTTTTTTTTTTTTTTTTTTTTTTTTTTTTTTTATCATGATCAGGACATTCTTAAAATAATTTATTTGTCTGTTCAAGACAATCTTGCTCTCAAAAAGTGTTTTTCTTTTTTTTTTTTTTTTTTTTTTTTTTTTTTTTAATTTTTAAATAAAAAAAAAATTTAATTTTTTTTTTTTTTTTTTTTATTTTTTAAAAAACCACTTTTTTTTTTAATTTTTTTTTTTTTTTTTTTTTTTTTTTTTTTTTTAAATTTTTTTTTTTTTTTTTTTTTTTTTTTTTTTTTTTTTTTTTAAATCTTAAATACAAAATACAGTTGAATATTTTTTTGTTGTATATTAATTTTTAAAACACCACTACTCGTTTTAAGATCTTATCTTTAAGTTAAACTAGTTTATTTTGAAAAAAAAGAAAAGATAACAAGACAGTCACATAAGTTTGATAATGAAGAACTCCAATAACCTGAGCCTACATGACAAGTGAGTAATTCCCTGCCAACCCACCCCCCATAATATCCCTGCAACCTTTGAATTGTTTTTTTCAAAATTATATTTCAGACACTGGAAGGAAATAGTAAAAACAATTATCTTTATTTTGATTACTTCTTGGAGATAATTATTAAGATTTTCTTCGGTGTTTCTGATCTATTTCAGTAAAAAAATATTAAAAAATAAACTAACTGATAGTTACCTGATGGATAGGTTCTTTACCATATACAGTTATGGTTAAACTTTCTTCTTTAAAACATACAGGAAGAGTTATGCCTCGTTCCATAAAACTTTCTGAAAACAATTTTATTTTAGCAGGTCACAAAAGTCAATGAATGATTAAAATGTTGTCTTTTTGGTTTTTAATTCATGCAGGGCCTTTTTATGTCACAATTTAAATTAAGCATTAACAATTAATATGATGCAAAAATGTATGGTAAATGTGATTGCCATAATTTTTGCCTAGAAAAATACAAAAACATCATGCAGAATTAAAGATAAAGTACACAATTCAAAACAACAGGAACTAGTAACACACACATAATGATTTCATTGCGATATTTTCATTAAAAAGTTGCAAACGTATAAGCCAAATATAACAAAACTTTGATTAGGCTAGGCCTAATTATAATTAGCAATGTTGTTTAATTTTAAATTATTATAAAGAATCACCTTATTTAATTATTTTAATCCAATACAGTACATTTACAAGTAAAAGTAATATGCGTTAAAAATCATTCATAATTATATCCCATATTAATTTTAGGAATAATATTTTTTCTTCCCTCACAGCATAAGACATTTACGGTTTACAGTATATTTCTTCACATCCTTTGCTTTCAAACCCCATTCAAATATTTGTTATGCTTTATCACTTATTGTTTAAAATTCAAATCTGTTGTTTTAAACAGCGAAAGAACGTACTAATAAAGTAATTTTAAAAAAACAAACAGTTTTTTAAGTTGCGGTAACTTTTGATTGGTTCAACAGCACTAAGAAATCTGTAAAAAATCTTTAAGCGTAGGAAGAAAAACATGTTTTATGCCTTATTTGAAATTTCTAATAGCATGGTTCTCTTCTGTGCTTTATTTGCTAAACTAAAGGCAATCATTAATGATAGGCATGTTGGAAAAAACTTTTTTTTTCTTCAAACAATATGTGAGAATAAGTTATAAAAATAATAAAAGTCTAAACCACAAATTTTCATAAATAAACCCAAACATTTGTTTTGCTAATGTGAGCTACTTATTTATTTCATATTCTTTTTACTTTTATAAATGCTCACCTGCACCATCTGTCTCCTGAACAGTGAATTTCTTTAGGAAATCACTACAGGCCATATTTGTCTCCAAAGCCTTTAAAGGAATAGATATCTCACTCATTTGCAGTGTCTGTAGGAATAAACATATATATTTTATTTTTTTTTTAAATAAAAATAAAATAATGATAGCTTTGTTCTACCATTAGTATTTTATTTTCAATCTAAATAACAAACCATTAGAAAACTAATAAAGTAGTAAAATAGCTTTGGATCATTGATCAGATTTATCAGTAAATCTTTCTGCCTTTATTAATTTCTTAGTAAAACTTTCTGCATTTTGTGGTTTATCAGTAACACTTTTTGACTTTAGTGATTTCTCAATAAAAGTTTTTGCTTATAGTGATTTCTCAGTAAAAAAATTTGCATTTAGTGATATCCCAATCAAGATGGCACTTACAATTCATTCTGAATACTACTTATTACAAATCAACGTGTGACATAGTTTTTTAACGCTAAAGATGTTTATTCCAGAATCAATAGCTTAAATTGTAAGACATTTATTTAGCATAAACATATATTTTAAAAAATTCTTTACCAGGTCAAATGCTCTTTCCCAACGTCAGATGTATTCTGATTATTTTATTCAAGGTTCACCTACTTCAGAGAATAGCTTCCTTATTTGACACAGAAAATGAATATTGGTAAATAAAACAAATACTTCATTTACTTTCCTTATTTTAATTTTTGTAATAGAAAACTGAACTTATGTACTAATTAAAAAACGATCTGAACTTAAGGAATTAAAATCAAAGGTTAGTCTATATTATAAGTCTTATTTATAGTAGTAAAAAGTCTAATAAAAACAAAACAATATCTAAACATGATTAGCTGAAAAATCTTAATGTATATTTATTTTGCTTCTGGTGTGGCCACTTCCATTTCCCAAACAGCCCTCACTTACTCAACATATGTTATATTAACAGTAGTCAGTGAAAATAAAATAGCTATCAAGAAGCAAGTGTCAAGCATGATGGTTGAACTCAGGTAAAAAGGTTGATTTTTTTTGGAGGTGACTATTATATTAATCAATAAAGAGACACTGGTATGGTGTAGAACTAATGTTTAAAAGCAAGCATATGTAATAGAAAATGAAAAGTACACTTTGTTTTGTAACACTTGGACCTACTGGGTATTTTCCCAAAATACCCGGGTCCGGTGTAAAAAAACTGCACCAGGTTAAGCCCTAGTAATCTTAATTTTTCTGTAAAGTTCTAACCTATCTCTTCCCTACCTCATAATCAAGATCCTTATGGTAGTTTTCTCTGTCAAAGATAAAGGACTACTTTCTAGTACTTGAATAAGGTAGAGGAGAGAAGTTACTGAGTGATAAAATTGCAAAGTAATGGCCTAACCAGAAATATAATTCTCTAGGTATGTATGAATATATGTATAACTGTAATGCTCTGTTCAATAGCGAAAAAATACAATTTCATAACACAACTGTAACATTGCGTTCAATAGCCTGTCAATATAAAATTACTATTTCTAAATAGGATTCTTAAAAACATTAAAAATGGGATTTTTTTTATTATGAACATCCAATAAATAGGATTCTTAAAAACATTGATGTTTAATTATGACACTCCAATCAATTTTAATCTGGCAAGATAAATATGGTGAGGCCCAAGGCCTGTATGTAAATATATTAATTCTTTGATATTAAGTATTATTTTATAAATTAGAAATAAATGTAATTTAATGAAATTTCCAGAAGTTAATGATACTTGGGATTCCTATAAAGTGTGTTACGTGAATGCATGTTTTTTTCAATTATCTTTAGTAGCTGGGAAGTTCACAAATTGCTCTGCTATTGTTTAGCAGGCTATCTTGAGTATTAACTAAAGGTAAGTTATATTTTAATAATCACCTGGAGAAGGGACTTCATCTTATGTTCAAAGTTCAGACAAATTTCACTTCTTTAAATTTCATTCGAACTAACTTCCATTGAACAAATTTCTATTATACAAATTTCCATATACTATATACTGTAACTGTTGATTATAGTACATAGCAGGGTCGGTCGCCACAGTATGATTTCTGATTTACTCAGCCTGCCAAAAACCTACATATCCTTTAAGTCCTAACAAAGCTATAAGATATAAGTCTAACTAACAAGCCTAATTAAAAGTCTAACAAACAAACCTATATGTCTAGCTTATAAAAGATGCAAATTATTTTGTTCTTCCAAGTTACATTGAAAATCACTCAGAGTGCCAAGTCTGGCATGCATGCTGTAGGTTGCCGATCCCTGGTCTATAGTATGGACTATATTACATGTAGGTGTAGGCCTTCCTCACAAATGCATACTTCTCGACTCAGTAAGACTATTTAGGGGTTTGCATCAAACTTAAATTTTACTTTAGCAACTATGGACCAGTGAAAGCAGTAAAAGTAAAAAGGCAAACTCCATTTTTTCTTCTACAAATGAGTACCTGCAGTAAAATCAAAATTAACAAAGCCAATGCTAACCAACATGTAACATATGTTATGAAACATCATGAATTTTTAAGAGATCAACAGTTGTCCTTGGACTATCATTTGGAAACCACAGGGCTAGACACATTTTTTTCCCCATGGCTTTGCTACTTTAACACCAGAGGTAAACAAAGCCTCATCATTAATATAATCTTTTCCAAAATATCTAACGAAACAAATCTATTCTCATCCGCACCCCCCCCCCACCCCCTTTTTCATTTTTTTTTGGTCCTAGTTTTTTTCCTTTTTTCCCCTCTTATTTTTCACAACAGTTTGCCTCCAGACTTGAAATTCCACAAGTGCCCCAAGGCTGGTAGCGCTGGTCTAGAATAGTAATGGTGGGTTATGATGACTTAACCAATAACTATAGTAAATTTGGTTAAAGAAGACAGAAGAAAAGGCTACTCTGGACTTCCTAATAACTTTTGAGACTAACCCTCTTGAGACATAAGGGCCGACCTATCCGCCCAAGTTTGACTAGCGAGACAGGCCTAAGGCCGAACTATCGGCCCGATAAATCGAGCCTCACAATTGGCTGGTATGGTATTGTACCAGCGAATGAAAATTATTCTGAAGTATCCCTGCACATCCCAACATTGTAATGGCAGCATTCGTTGAAGGTGAACTCAATATATTAGTGTGGAGGAATTTTGTGTGTGTGTGTAGTGACATCGTGAAAGTCGAACATGTCTGACAGTGACTCTGATCAAACTGTGCTTAGTGAATTTTATATTCTTGCAGTGAATCTGACACTGAAAATGATGAGAACAACCAAATAAAGACTTTCAAATTGAGGGTAATGCTAATGTTGTGAACTTTTGGTTTAGCTTTACTAGTAATAGGGGTCATCAAATGGACAGAGATGACCCCTCTGAATTTTTAGACAACGTAAGTCCTATAAATAAGGCATAAGCACCCCATTCGAGTACTTTATGCTATTTTTTACACTAAATATCACTCAAATGTTTATGAGATAGACCAATAGATATGCAGACAACTTTCTCAGTAACATTCAGCTTAAGAGAAGGTCCCTAGGTCATAAATGGGGGCCTGTTACAGTGTGTCTGTAACAACTGAAAAATAGGGGGTGGGGGTGGAAAAGGAGTAGAACCATATGCCAGAGGTGTCTGAAGGGTCTCCATGGGCCTTTTTTCACACAAAAATAAGTGTTAGGTTTTATTCAGGCTTCTCCATCAAAAAATTCACACAATTGATACAAGTAAGTCATGTTTATTCTAGGTGAAACAAAAAATTACACGCATAAATTATGCAAATCAGGGTAACTCATTTGCATAAATTTTTATATTTCAGTTTGATTCATAAAGATTGCATTAGTTCATTCAATTTCCTACAAGAATATATACAGTTTTACATATATTAAGGAAATAGTTTACTTTTTATAAAAAATTTTTGCAATGTGAGTGCCAAGCTCGTAAAAAGAGCTCCGTCGTTTTGGCACATACACCCCGAAAAGTAAATTCCAAAAGTAAATTACCTAAAATTAAGACTAAATATTATATTATTTTAGGCTAAGCCGATTATAGGCTATAGTATAGTCTATTATAGTTATAGTGGTGTAGAAAGTTCAGTAAAACCATGTCCATGCAAATACAAAATGGCAGTGGTGTTTTTTGCTTGCAGTTAAAAAAAATAAGGAAAATTATTATGAGAATGGGTTATTTTCACTACAAAACCAAAAAAAAAGTTTAAAATATGATTATGTGATCCTTACTAATAAAATCTAATACAAGTTTGCTTCCACCTACTATTTCTATACCTACAACTACAATTTAACTATAATTTATAAGTCACTGCCTTAGCTTACCCTACATCATAACCCCCCTCCCCCCCCCCGACCTCTATTTCCCTTTTTGATGGGGAATAGAGGGGGGAGGGGTCATTTTACTGGATTAATTTAAGTCAATTACTGATCTGACATGATTGATAATTGAATCTATGAATGTATGAATCATGTAATTAGTAAACATAAAGTCATAAAGCGGTAAATTAAATAGTGTAGTATAAGTAGTGTATAATAGTAATAGTTTAATAAAAATTAATCATGCCCTATATTGCCTATATTAGTAGTATTTTATACCAGTTCTGAGTATCAGAGTATCAGTAATTAGATAATACTATACAATTAATAAATTAATACCACTAAACAACAATGCAGAAAATTGATCAATGTGTTGTAAATTTTAATAAGCCGTGCCATACTACTTTTGTCTTAGATGGTCCGATAAAAAAATAATGGCTTACACCATTGCAACTCTCAAAAGTATGCAACAAGAAGTTCTGGGAAGATAAGACAATAATTTCGCATGTTCTCGACTTGACAACAATGACAAAGACGATGGGTACAAGTGCAGTTCAGGTGCATATATTATTTCTTAGCGCATTTCGTATTTTAACATTTTTTATCATGTAAACTTACGTGTATTCTTTAATAATTTAATACAGGCAGTTATAGTTAACTAATTCTGGATTATAAATCGCATCTTTTCTTTTCATTTTGCTTCTAAAGAGTCTTTAAACATCCCCCAACCAAAGTGACACAGCCCCCATTTGTTTGTATTTTTCTTTTTACGCTATGCCAGATTTTTAGCCACCTATAAGTTAGTATGCTAAACGAAATTTTCAAACTAAGCATGTTCACAAAAAAGAATGAAATACTAGATTCTTCATTACGCACAAGCGCCCCCCCCCCCTTTCTTTTTTTCCCCTCTCAGAGAGCTCGGAATATAGGGGTTGTCCTTTGAAGTCGAGTCGGGGAGGGGGGGGGGGAGATTAGAAGTGGATCACTGACTAAGCAGTGGACACACACGTCATCATTGTCCTGGACCTGGTGTGAAGCTGATCACCCTGAAGGCTGCTAATACGCTGTCCGTGATTGGTCAGCTCTAATTTGAGCCCCCCTCCTCTTTTTTCGTATGCAAATGCGCTTATTACTGGTGACTGATTTGCGCTGAGTAAAGTGAGGGCTAGTGATTTTTTTTTTTTTATATTATAAGACGGACTCGTTTTGGCTTTGCGGTATTGCTGGTTGTAGGATCATTTTGTTTAAAATTGCAGGACGACCAAGAAACAATAACTAAAATTGTTGATGCAACGGGCATTTTTAATGGTGCAGCATTTGGTTTATACGCGCAGCTTGTGGGGCAATAAATAACGTTAATACAACTTGAATTTCTCCTAAGGCGCTCGTAACAATTGAAATGTGGCTTGTAAGCTGGGTTCGTATGTCAAGTATGTGAGCTCCCCATAATTACCGGGATCTGCATATCACCCAAAACGGGATCTCACCCGAAACGGAATCTCACCCGAAACGGGATCTCACCGTAACCGGTATCCCACCAGGATCGGTAACCCACTGGATCGGGATCCCACTGGGATCAGGATCTCACTAGGATCAAAATCCTATCGGGATCGGCATCTCACCGAAACGGGATCCCGCCGGATAGAGATCTCGTTTAGTTTGGGATACCACCGGAAATGGATCTCACCGGGATAGGTATCTTACCGGGATCGGAATCCCACCATGACCAGGATTCAATCGGAATCACATCGGGTTCGGGATCCCATCATGATCCTTCTGGGTGCCATCGGAAAACGGGAAAAACGAAAGGTTTACATAAGTTATTTTAATTGTTTTTAATAGGAGACAAATTAATTATTATTATTTTTAATTTAGGGTTGTTGTTTTGTTGTTGACATTTCCTTTAGTAGCAATGTGAACTAAAAGGACGTAACAGATGTTTTTGTCTGAATGCAGCCCCGGGCAACTCCGGTTATAGTTGATAGTAAGGTTATAAAATAAATACATCATTTATTTTAACAAGATTCATCCAATTGGGCAACTTTTATAAAGTATCTTTAAAGACAGAAGAGTTATCCTTGATTTACCACAATGGCTCCGTAAAACACGAACGATTCATAAAAATGTACTTTTTTTAATCTCGTAAAATTTGTTAAATTATTGTTGTATTCCAATAAAAAGATGGTTATATAACTTTTAAAAAAACTTTTTATAAAGAATTAACATAAGTTTACACGGGAAAATAAGAGATTCAACCAGAAATAATATACGCACCTGAACTGCACTTTAACCGCGGAATTTCCCGTTCATATTTTAAATTTATTTTTAATTTGGTAATCTAACTCAGTGGTCCCCAGTCCCCATATTATGCGTTGCTCTGGATGCCATGTTGCCCTCAGGCAGAGCCATGGGAATGGGGCAACGAGGGCAGTCACAGCGGGAACCAAATTATAAATCAAAACAATCCAAAATATAAACGATCAACACCCCCCCCCAACCCCCCAGCGGGCCGCGGTAAAATTATCAAACCTTGACCGGTCCGCGGCGTTATAACATTTTGGGACCACTGCTATAACTGGCATATTAGGTTTAAAAAAAAGTTAGGTGGGCCAATGATATTTGTGTCGCGTTTTAAGATAAGATTCTTTAATTATTGATCCAAATTGTCGCCCGGACCTCTTCTTTATGTGATGGTATTTATAAAGAATTTGGGCCGCGTTCCTAAAACTATTGTTTGCGTAGTTATTTGGGCTGCTTTCCCAAAACTTTCCTATTTAAAAATTTAATATAATTTAATCTCCACTTTCACTTAAGAGTTAACACATCTATTTAAACTATACTACCCTGACTGATTCTCCTCCTATAAACCGATAAACGTACATGGGTTTCCTTGTAAAAATGTCTGGTGTGGGTGGATGAATTTACCTATGGTGTTGTTTTGCTTATATGTCGTTTTTATTTCATTTATGTATTTTATTTTAATATTATGATTATGCCTCTTTGCTATATATGTACAGCGCGGTGAGCCCAGCCCTAGGCCGGGGTACCGCGCTATATAAGACCACTTATTATTATTATTATTATTAACGCCCATGAGCGATAAATGCATATTTTACTTCTACTGTAAAATTAAAATGTTTGTTTGAATTATGTATTATTTCAAGAGAAAAATCTGTGAATGTAACAAAAAAATTAACCTCACAATTTCTACTGAATATTTTCTCGTTGACGCTAGACTGATTCACTAATAATAGGGCTACTAGTATGCAAGGAGACTAACAATTGTAGGCCTAGATTAAATTAATAATTAACTGATTGAGTGACGTACTCACCTCATCAAATTCATGCAATGAGGCTACGCACCAATCCGCACATGTATTGAATCATGTTTAGGGGTACCCCGGTATCACTCAAATTCAGACTGCTTCGTTAGCCTATTTCAACTGCTTACATTAATATGCGGTATTCTCTTATATAAGCGGCTTCCAACCTGTTGTTCGTTTACTCCTAGGGTTGCACGTCTGGGTAGGAAGGAGCAAGGGGCGTGGCTTGTCACACTTTTTACATTTTGGCCTTCAATTAAAAGAATGTTGATTTAAACGAAGTAAAAGTGTACCCAGTGGTTGTTAATTCTTTAGTGATTTATATGGTTTGAGTTGAAATGAGCTATAGGAGGCCAGGTGTGAGATACAACCGTTTCTCAAAGGTTGTCAGCGTGTTACATCCAACCTCACCAACGGTGTTTGTTGTCACAAGATGTTGGGTAGGTTGTCACATATTGTTGCGTAGGTTGTCGCATAGTGTTGGGTAGGTTGTCACATATTATTGAGTAGGTTGTCACATATTGTTGAGTAGGTTGTCGCATAGTGTTGGGTAGGTTGTCACATGGTGTTGGGTAAGTTGTCACATCATGTTTTATTTTTTTATAAATAATGCAGGTTTACAGCTTTGAAGACCAGCAAAGTACATTTTTATTAAATTAAATTTAATGTAAAAATAACTATAATTTTACACGTTGTTAACAGTTCTTAAATACATTTACCTCCTGACCTTCAATTACTTTGTTTTCATTCTTATCATTGTTATACTGTGGACTTATTTTTAAAAGAAGAAATCCATAGTGGAAGTCAAGGGATGGGAATTGGGGAGTGGGGGGGGGGGTGACACTAATCCTAGCTACAACACTAAATTAAAAATGTGCTTATAAAATAATTACAATCATTATGGGTAGGCTCCTGTGATAAAAATACATTTATAACTCTAAATGTTTTCTTAATATTTTGTTTCACTAACAATTAGATTTTAGTTTTGACATTCATGCTATGACTGTCGGAGTCAGTCTCATTGGAAATTAAACTATGGCCTTGACTGAAAACAAGTTCGTCAAAGAAAAAAAAAAGTCGGTTACGCCCACTGGCCGCTTGGACAACCTGGTTCACCACTGAAAATTAGAATAGTAAGACGCTGTTTACTCCTTCTTTCGTCCGTTTCTACTGGGGAGGAGATCAGCCGCAATCTTGTGTAATTTTAGGGTGTCCTTAACAAAGTTGAGCCACTGCAGGACATAAGAGGTACTGGAGAGCGCAGTAAGCAAGATAAGTTTCGCTGAGCCGCATCAAATTAGAGTCTCTGTTGTGCTCTGTTGTGAAAAATTATGATTCGCATTTTCAAACCCCCCTGCCCCAGATTTACCAAAGCCATCGGGGCCTTACTGCAGGTTATCTGTTCGCATCAGTCACAACATTTAATTTTAGCCTTCCTGAACGTTCTCCGCTTCTGTTTTAAAATATTTACTACATGGATTGTGATCATGCCGCAATTTTTAAAGATGTTTATCAAAAGATGATACTGAGTCTCCTTCATTCCTTAGATCCACTCTAGCAACTTCCAAAGACTGTCCGTGACGTATGGCCCTTGAGTTTTGAATATTATCATGACGATGAAAAACAGCAACAAATAAAACAACACTCAAACAAAAACAACAAATAAAACTTTTTAAATTTCCATGTAGCATTATAATTACCATAAACTAGTGAGTGGCATCTTCTGTCAGAAGACAACCATGGCAAGATCAAGTTAAACATCACTACCAATTTCAAGTTTTGTGCGTATTTTTTATTTTTTTTTAATGTGACGTTACATGTGATCTATACTCCATCTCTCACGTCACAACTGTCATACTTTCTTAAACACCCCCCCCCACCACAGACACACACTTTCGGAGAACGACGTGCTTTATGGACGGCCCCTGATTCAACATGACCGTACGTACTAACTAACACACATATTCTTGTGAAGGTCTGATATTACTTTCTTATGACCCTGGCTAGTACATTGGGCAGAAACTCCATCTGCTGAGATGACCCATACAACATTTGCTCTCTTACCATCCTGGCTTACACCTGGACATCTAGTGAGGGACATTCGGTCAACAGGTGCGCTAGTGTTTCCAAGCCCAGGCTGAAATGTCGGCAGGTAGGGTCCCTGTTGTCATCTAGCCGCCAGAAGTTATGTGCCAACGGGGCAGTGCTCTGAGCGCATCTGCGTCAATAGACTCTGCTGTCTACGGCCCAACCCCAACCATGGAAATGATCATATCACACAAGGAATGTAAAAAAAAAAAGGTATTTTCCAGCACTACAAATAACCAGTGAGGGTTCGAGAACTGTATTTGTTTCAAGTAAAGCATAACACCTAATTGTATCGTGAAATGCTCTTTCTTCTAGAAGAGTGCTGTCCAACCCGCGGCCCAAGAGCGGATTCTAAATATCCCACCACCACTGGAGAAATTTGTAACAGATGTGTTTAAAAATAAAACATTTTAGGATGGAAATATGTTCAAACCACATTCATTGATCCGGTTTTGTTGGGAAAAAACGTG